CTTTGAAAGTAGTTTGTTATTTTACCCACAAGGCCTGTCTCTGGACCTAACAGGACTTGAAAAACGTTTCTTCTCAAAATGTTTACAAGAATGAACTAACATCATTGTGAATATCTTAAGTTCACAAACAGTATATTATACTCATTTTGTATAACTCAGGAGTACCTAATGTGATATCCTCAAAAATATACATGCAATGTAATTTTGTTGCATATAGATTTCCAGTTTTCCCAGCATCATTTTTTGAGGAGACTATATTTTCCTTCAATGAATGTTTTTGGCACTTTTGTCTAATATAAGATAATTGTAATATTGTGGGTTAGTCTCTGTTTCCTCTATTCTGTACCATTGATCTACCAGTTTTGGTGCCAATACCATGCTGTTTTTGTTATTATTACTCTGTAGTGTAGTTTAAGGTCTGATATAGCGATGCCACCTGCTTCGCTCTTCATGCTAAATATTACTTTAGCTATTCTGGGTCATTTATTTTTCTAGATGGATATCACGATTGCTTTTTATATTTCTACGAGGAATGTCATTGGGATTTCGGTTGGAATTGCATTAAATCTGAATAGTGCTTTTGGTAGCATGGTCATTTTGATAATATTAATTCTGATTATCCAAGAGCAAGGTAGACATTTCCATCTTCTAAGGTCTTTGATTTCTTTCTTTAGGGTTCTGTAGTTTTCATTGTATAAATCTTTCACCTCTTTTGTTAAGTTGTTTCCAAGTAATTTATTTTATTTTTTGAGACTATTGTAAATGGGGCAGTTTTCTTCATTTCCCTCTCTGGGGACTTGTCATTGATATACAGAAATGTCTTTGATTTATGGGTGTTGATTTTATATCCTGCTACTTTGCTGAATTCATTTACTAGTTCTAGAAGTTTTCTGATGGAGCTTTTTGGGTCTTCTAGGTATAGAATCATATCATCAGCAAACAGTGCTAATTTAAGTTCTTTTCCTAAATGTATCCCTTTAATTTCTTTCATCTAATTGCTCTGGCCAGTGTTTCAAGAACTTTGTTAAATAGAACCCCTATCTCTTACCATTCACAAAACTTAACTGACAGTGTATCAAAGATCTAGGAATTAAATTAGAGACTCTGCATCTATAGAGAAAAAAAATAGGCCCTAATCATCAACATGTGGGGTTGGGCCCCAACTTCCTTAATAAGACTCCTATAGAGCAAGAATTAAAACCAAGAATCAATAAATAGTATGGATTCAAATTGCAAAGTTTCTTTTCAGCAAAAGAAACAATCTATTTTGAAGACAAACAACAATAGGTGTTAGTGAGGATATAGGGAAAAGGTATACTCATACATTGCTGGTGGGACTGAAATTTGGTGTGGCCAATGTGGAAAGCAGTATGGAGATTCCTTGGAAATCTGAGAATGGAACCACCATTTGACCCAGCTATCCCACTCCTCGGTCTATACCCAAAAGACTTAAAAACAGCATTCTACAGAGACACAGTCACATTAATGTTTATAGTAGCACAATGCACAATAGCTAAACTGTGGAACTAACCTAGATGCCCTTCAGTAGATGAATGGATAAAAAAAAATGTGGAATATATACACAATGGAATTTTAATTAGCAATAAAAGAGAATAAAATCATGGCATTTACAGGTAAATGGATGGCGTTGGAGAAGATAATGCTAAGTGAAGTTAGCCAATCCCCCAAAAATAAATGCTGAACATTTTCTCTGATATAAGGTGACTGACTCATAGTGGGGTAGGGAGGCAGAGCATGAGAGGAAAAGAAGAACTCTAGATAGGGCAGAGGGGTGGGAGGGAAAGGGAGATGGCAGGGGTTAGCAAGGATGGTGCAATGTGATGGTCATTATTATCCAAAGTACATGTAGGAAGACACAAATTGGTGTAAACATACTTTAAATACAACCAGAGATATCAAAAATTGTGCTCTGTATGGATAATAAGAATTGTAATGCATTCTACTGTCATTTATTTTTTAAAAATCAATTAAAAATATATGTAATCAGGGAAGACTTAATGAAAGATTAATAATACTATAATAATAATATTTCATTTTAAAACAGAATCAAAACTCAATGAAAATAAGTATGCATAAATTATTATTTCATATTTTGTTACATTATGTTTTTCATTCAAAAGGTTTGCTGTTATTGGTATATAAAGCTAAGCAGAGATGATATCCCATGCATTTAGAGTAATGAGTTTGGTTAGCAGTTCTTTTCCTATGTCAGGGCAGAACAGCCAGCAAGAGCCACTGGAGCTTAAGAGGGTCCTGACAGCTGCTAGCTCTCTCTTTATAGTCAGTATGAAACAAATGTTACTCTAAACTAGTTTGTTCAATCCATCAATATTGCTGAAACTATAATATGGAAAGGATTGAACAAATAAGATAGACCTTCGTTAACTGCTAATATTACATTGCTATACATGTGAATGCTTAAAACAAAGTTTGAGGTTTTTATTCATTAATTTGCCTTTGATTTTTCCTCCATATATCTTCTACTATCAGATGAGTTATGGGAAAATCTGGTATGTTTTGAATATATATTACATGAAGGTATATTGAGTATGAGAGTTCCTCACCTTACCATTTTCAATAATTCTCCTAGTTAAATTATGTTAAATACTTCACTTGTGATTCCAACAATAGGTTAGGCAGTAGAAATGTATTCTACTTTTTTTCTGGCAGAAAAAAACACATGATTTTCAATCACATTTACCTTAGTATAATTTGTGGGTTATATTAAGAAAATATTATAATAAACTTCAGTGTAGATTAGAGATTTGTTAACATTTTGTAAGTGTAGGGCCATATAGTTATCCTCACAATATCCCTCCTGATGTACATAAATGTATCTACATTTATCACCACATTATTATCATGAATTGACATATAAATATGAATAATACTTTTTTTCTTAGCAAGTCTCCACTTTCTAATGAAGTAAATAGTCAAGTAATAATTGTAATCATAAATAATTATAGTAACTGAACTTAGTGTTCTAGTGGATACTTTTGATAAAAAAGCAAAGCTTATATTGTGTTTATATTAAATAATATTACAGTTGTGCATATTATTATATGAGACAATACTGGAACACAGCATGTTTTTCTGAATTTACATTGGGTAAGACTGGAACCAGGTATTAAAAAATAAAATAACAGTTAGTAGTTTGTTTCAGCAAATAATTGCTTCTAGAAGATAAAATTATAAACCAAGTGAAATGGTATCCATATTAAGACTCATTTCAAAATCTTCTCCCAGCTATGACAACCAATAAAAATTATTGTCATAAGTTTGGGTCTGTTCCCAACCAGTTCCTTACTTTGCAAGACAGATTAAAAGTAACACAACTGAAGACATAAAATCCTATAAACATTGAGATATGACAAAAAAGAAAAAGAGTTTAACAATTGAAAGGTTTAAAACTTTATTTAGCTGATGTATATCAAGGAGAAACACAAGACCACATAAATATCTGAGGCAAAACAGCACTGGATTTGTATAGGGCGGTAGTAAAGAGGAGTATATGTCTTTATAGTTAAGATGACCCAGCACATGTCCTCATATCTAACTGATAGAAAACTTATGGTTCGAAATAGTGAAAATTTTTGGGGGGTTTTGTGATTTTGCTAAAGATCATTGGTGAAATTCCAGTCAGGAAATTCTCAGGTCAATTCTGTTCATAACTGCTTTTGTAAATCTCACAATTTTTGAAAGCTCGGTAGGAAGACAACAGAAAAAGGAAGAATAAAGACAAAAAGATTTATAGGGGGTACATGTTGTAGCCAGGGAAATAAGGAAATGCATTAAATCCTTCTATAGACACTAAGTAATGTTTTCCTTTACTTTGGTAAGTCTAATGAACATAGCTTTGCTCAATCAACAGAGTTTTCTGATGTTCCTTTACAAAGTTGGCATTTCACAAAATTGAACATTGGAAGGGTAAAGAATGGAAGAAGATTTCTATCTAATTGGAAAAGGAAGTCAAATAGAAAGAGGTATTTTAATGGCACCTGTAAAGTGTTTTCCAGGTTAAGAAAGTAGAGTAATTGAAGATAGAAAGAACATAAAAAGAAGTGGCAAGGGTAGCTAGCTTTCCTTTGGGGATAACATAGCCTAAGATTCACTTTTCCCTGCAACTCCCCCTACATAAAATCAAATATGCTGGTGATGATTAAACAAGCATAGAAGAACTCTGAAAGGTGAAAAGAGAAAGGTGGAAGATGGATATAGACCTCAAGACTTGAAAAACAACACCATGAGGAGTTCCCTGGATTATCTTCTTGTTTTTTATTTATTATGGACTAGAAGTTAGAGGAATCTAAAACCCAGAAGCACCAACAACTAAAAACAAAAAAATAAAAAGATAAAAAATAGAAAAATTTGCTCTAGTTTTGGCTAGAAATCTAGTAAAAAATGGAATCCTGGAAGGAATGACTGGAAAAACCAACAACCTGTGGCCATTGTAGGCCTGATCATCCTGTGTAAATCATGGAAAAGAGTTGAAGAATTAAATCACCCCCATTTCAAATCTCCCAGCAAGATTATAACTTATCTGCTGTAGCAGAGGTTAAAGCAAAAACTGGCAGTTAAAATGAGGGACAGGACCAGCCTGTGGCGCATATGTGTAATCTCAGTGACTCAGGACAGCGACTGTGGCAGTAGGATCCTTAGTTCAAAGCCAGTCTCAGCAACTTAGCAAGGCCATAAGAAACTCAAAATAAAACATAAAAAGGCCTTGGGATATGACTCTGGTTAAGTGCCCCTGGGTACAATTCCTAGGACAAAATCTAGTCCTGGGTTTGAGTGCCAGAAAGATGACGGTCTCAATTCAAGATTTTTTAAAAGACTATTTGAAAAAAATTTCTGCTGAGTCTCCACTGATTGACAGCTGTGGTTTCCTAGAGACTGAGAATACCTAATGAGTATTCATTGTTTGGTAATCAGACCTGATTGTATCTCAGACAGGTTAGAGAGAGAGTTGGGCTCTCAGGCATTGAGACTGAAGTACCAGTAAGCAGAGGTACCAAGTACCCACAATTCATATTTTCCTCCTAAAGCTTAGAACAAAATGTATCAGAAACATACTTGACTGACAGGCGAAGAGAAAATTTCATTTGGTAGTATTAACTCATTATTGTTATCAAAATTATCTTAATATTATTTTGATATAGTATTTATGATACTATATCAGAGAAGAATGACTTGGAGAAGGTTAGAGTATTAATATTTACATATGCTTTCTCCATGAAAACATAGAATAAATAATTAAGATAAGTTTTAGCACACATTCTTTCCTCAAATAACAGACAAAAACATGACTATTTTGACATATTTGTAAAATAGTAATATCAGAGTTTACTTATTATGTTAAATAATATTCTAATTCATTTTTAGATGTTTATTTATTGGGAACCTTCTCTCAGTCCCCTGTTTTTACTTTCCTGGTCATTTCAGTATGTAACAAATATATAGCATATCGTGCCATTGAATTATACTATATATTACATATTATATATAAATTAATATATAACAAAAGAAAATAGTTTTTCTAATTGTAAGAAATAAGGGACTTCAGTTAGGTATTAATTTCATTCTTGAGCTTCAAAGACTGAGGGCAGAAATGTGAAGGTAGTTTGGTTCCAAACAGTAAAAGCATAAATGTCCTGAAAGACAGTTTAGCACTTAACATGGGTTATTTAACCATTATTCACATATTCCACTATATTAAAAAAATACATAGTCATATGAGGAGTATGGTTTCAAACTCAGAATATCAAGTAAATACCAGTTGCCCTTCATATTTTCATACAGAGTATTAAATTACAGAGTAGATATTTCTCCATGCAAATTGTTTCTATCTCTCATAGACATTCACCTAAACACTCTATGATAAGAGGTATTTTTGATATGTACTTGTTAAGAACAGATTATAGTCAGTTCATAGTTTACATATTCTAGAATAGTAACTATGGTCTATATTTCTTAGAGGGCAGATGTGTGCCTTTGGAGAGAAGACATAACGTAAAATTTAAGAGTAGTTACCTGTATGTCAAGCTAGACATTGTAATAAATCATTTATGCCTAAAGGCAAACCACAAGATTGCTTCCAGCCAAATCTGAATTTTTCTCAATGTATCACTTTCAATACATTCTGGGAACTTAGCTAAAATATAATAGAAAATCCAGACAATGTAATGGCATGGAAGCATTCTCTCCTGGAAACAGAATCCAAGGTCATCTGGCCTATAGGCAACTTTAATAAATTACTCCAAGTAGTCATTTCCGGTCATATACACTCCTGAATAGGATTTATGTTCACTGACACACATGGCATTTACTTCAGAGTTTTAAAGTATTTGTTTATTTCCAAGATTATGGATTTATTTGCTTCTTTATTTAGGATTTCCATGATCATGGAAAATGGGAAAAGAAAGACAACAGAATGGGTGAAAAAACAACCTATTTTTACAGAAAAAAGAAAAAGAAATATTGAGACTTATGATTGCACCTCAATTCCCATAATGCTTCTCTATTTGGGGGTATTCTTTTACATGAGAACATTTCTTTTTAAAGTAACCATTTCTACATTTAGAAATTTAAAAAATTAAAATATTCCACATTTCTATTAACTTGCTTTAGTAATCATGGGCTTAATGAATATATGATGGAATACCTTGAAGTATCCTGAAGAATTTCTAAATTGTCCAATATTTTCTTCTGAATTTTCATCATTTAAATAATAATGAAAATAGTATTTTGATCCTTAAAGATGTTGGATATCAGGGACAGGATAATTCTATGGGCAGCAGGCCCATGCATTGCTGCTTTGGCCAGTGACTGCAGATTCTATAAAGGGCCAAACTATAACAGTTTTAATCTGTATTGGACACATTATCTCTGTTGCAGCTGCTTACTCTGATATCATAGCGTGAAAGCAGCCACAAATAACATGCAAATTGATTACATAGTCGTATTTCAATTAACTGTTGCTGTGCATTTTTAAAATCTATTTTAAAGTACATTTGTATGATTAAAGGTGTGGCCTAAGTATGTGGATATTCGTTAATCAGTTTACAGCTTTTTGTTTTTTTCTTCCTGTGCTTTAGAGTTTTTACATTTATTATGTGCTTGCATACCACACTGGCAGCTTAATGATTCTCTGACTATTAATTATTTTACAAAATGAAGCCACATATTGTCTCATAGAGGCAGTAAGTTCTTGATACATTAAAAAAAAGCATTATCTGAATTTCATGATTCATATTCATAGACAATAGGTAGGAATTGGAGTTAGTATAGATTGGAAGAAAAGTTTTATTATTGTAGTAGCTATGTTTGCTTTCTTTGTTTTTTTTAATTTTATTTTTATGAAATATTGTAGAAGATTAATTGATCTTTGTGAGCACTACCCAGAAAATGCTGAAAACAAAAGAGTGAGAGTGTGATGTAAACTATCTTCTCCACATTTTTCCAGATCATCCGTTAGTGCTTCTTAAAAGACTGTATAACCTATGCTCTGCCTCTATTCACCTCTCTAGCCTATGTCCCCTGTAGTAATCATTCTATTAGTATCTCTTTGCTTTGCAAACCAGGAAAAAAAAATCATTACCTGGTTCTCTGAATTTGCAATTGATGGTTTTCTTTAAGCTCTTGCATTTCAGGCAGTATGTTAAATTATGTGAATTCTGTCTATTGTCCTAAAACTATGGAGCTGACTTCATCGTTATTCCCTCTTCAGTTTAATAGAGAAAACATGGATATAAGTAGATTTGGAAAAGTCTTTAGAATCTCTAAGATCATTACTTTTCAAGGTACACTTCAACCAAACCAAAAGCATGAATTCTCAACTCTTGTTTTAAGGAATTCAATAAGGAGAGAGTTTACTTCTTGTGCCAAAATTGGAAGAATTGAAGTTGGGTGGTATTTTCAAATACCTTTGATGTGATTAATGATCACTTATTTAAAGAAAGTGGCCTTGTTCATACAGAAGTAGCTGTGTTGGTTACATTTAAATTGGTGCAGCTGGATCTAACTCCGAGTGATAAAATGTAAAGGATTTCTGTTCTTTGTGAACACATTTCTCAATAAGTATGTATTACTGTCCAGCAATGTCCATGGGAATTTGATATGTTAGGTTGTGTTGACCAGTACTTTCAGAAAATGTTGCATGAACTTTTGCGTCAGAATGATCATAGTTAAAACATGGTTTAGATGAAGATGGCTTTAATGTTTCTCTCAGATTCTCAGGTTTTTGTTGTTGTTATTGTTGTTGTTGTTTTGTTTTTTTTTTTTTTTAATGACTCCAGGTCCTTGACCTTGACTTTCTTAGAGCATTTCCTTTAGACATTTGTCATTGTAAATTTTTTCACCGTTCTTTGATTTTTAAATTTTGAAGGAAAAAAAAAAAAAAACCCTTGCCAGTTTTTATAGTCCAGAGGCCATCCTTTTCAAAGGCAATCATCTCTATGGGAGGCTAGAAGCATAACATGATATAGAAATAAGAGCTATAATAAGAGTACAAGCACTGTAATGAAATGCTCTGCTTAAAACCACCTCCTGACGTGAAGGTAAGCAAAAGCTTAGTTTTCCTTTGGGAAAGGTGCATTAACAGGCATGGATGGCTAATGGTCCCCTAAAAGAGCTCTTAAAAATCTTCCACTCTCTGTTTCATGTAGTGAATTTCCAGGCTAGATAAGTTTTTTTTTTTCTCCATGATGCTCTTAATAGAATCAGAATATAACCAATTTGTTTGCTTACTTTGTCTGCTGTGATTTTTCTTTACCAGATTCAATACATACAAGCTCTGTGATATTACATGTGTTGCTAACCCTTTCTGTGCTTTGATTTCCTAATTCAGGATGTGAAGAAAGTAATCGTTACTGTCAGAATTATTGAGCATATTCAATGAAATAAAGCATTACATGCTGACAAGAATTACAATATGAATAAATATTATTTCCTTTGCATTTTTGCCTTCTCAAGAGAATACATTTTAAGTGGACTTCATTAACTTCTCTGGCATTGACCTTAGCTTTCAACATACTTGAACATATTAAATATAAGGAGAAATATGGGTGCCCCTTACTGTATGTCTGCTTCCCTACTCATTAATCTGGGAGTATCTTGATGTTGCCTCTCTCTAATATGATGATGAAGAAGGGAACTTAAATCTAAGCCCTAGAAAGCCTACTAAGAGAAAGAATTCCCCAAGAGGTACAGCTCTAGGCTTTAAATGTTTTACATATAATGGTGGTTGGAAACAAAAAATATATATATAAAATAACATGATATAGAAATAAGAGCTATAATAAGAGTATAAGCACTGTAATGAAATGAAAATTTTCCCCTTTCTGCCTTTGAAATAACAAAAACAAACAAACAAAAAGAGCTTTGGCTTGGGGAAATATTTCTGCTCCATTATTCAAATAGACAAGAGTGGCCTTAATCTAAACATTTAATTGGTTCTGGTGTCTGAGTTTCCCATAACAGAAGACTACTTTAGCATCTATATCTGGTTCCTAAAAAAAAAAAAATCTCTCCTCAGATGTTGCCTGGCCCTCCTCTGTCCTCTAGTGGTCATGTGAAGAATTACTTCATTGTTTGTTCAAGATCTACCCATGGTGGGTCAGCTGAGAACAATCACCTTCAATCCTGCATGCCAGGACTGGGAATGTGGAAACATTCTGTGAGCAAATAAGGCCCAGGGGTAGCAATTTCATGTTTTCTAAAAATTAAATAAAAACAGCTTTCATCACAATGGGCATCCCATTTCTACTTGGTTATACATTGATTTAACCAAAGCTAGTTGCCATGTTAAACTGGAGGAAATGGAGGAAAATAGTGATAATATAAAATGATAAAAAAGATAATAAAAAATAAAATCAAACTTTATAGTATGTTTGACATATATAAGGGACTGTGTTTCACACTCAAAAATTTCACTGAACCCTCCCAAGAAAGCATGTGGTAGATATGGTATACATATTATAAAGAGTCTGAGGTTCAGTGTCTTGCTCAAAACCACACAACTTTTGGTTAAAATATTTGGGTTATGATCCAGCTGTTCAAATCCAAATCTCAAACACTTAACCACCATAGATTGTTCTGTCTTGATCAAACTGATTTGAATATACTTTCCAAGGTAGCAATGGATTCAGCAAGAATCCAAATGTTATCATTCTTTTGCCCCATATTTTCCTCTAATTGCCATAGTATTTCTCTATTTTTCATATAGCAAAGTTTATTTTTTAAATATGTAAAGAGGATACTGTCATTTCTTCCATTCCCATTCATACTTCAAGGCTCCTTTGACTTCTTGGTCAGTGGACTTGGTTGGATATTACATGAGTTGCTAACCCTTTCTGTGTTTTGACTTCCTAATTCAAAATTTGAGGAGAGGAATCTTTACTTGCCAGAATTATTGAGCATATTCAGCAAAATAAAGCATTACATGCTGAATAAAATGCCTTATCTTTTCTTAAAGTTCCCAATGACCTTTGTCAAGTAACAGGACATCAATGATTTGATGTGTGTATCTACATCAATATGAACATCCATTGATCTTTACTCAAACCAAGCTATTTTTTTAACTTCTATTACATTATTCTTTCAATTTTCTTTCTTTTTATTTCCTCTTCCTTCTCTTTCTTTGTCTTCATCTTCATTTCTGGGGATGCCTTTCATTTTATTTCAGACACTCTAACTCGCTATTTGAATTTTTAATAAGAGTATTTCAGCCTCAATTTTTGGCTCTGTCTATCCCCATAGATTAGAAAGCAGAAATGCATTTGTTCATTTTACATGTGTATCTCTAGCTGGTCCCTAATCTCATCTCTAAGTAATTGACATCTCTTTTTACAAATCTCAAATTCATCTGAAACTAAATGTATCCTAAATATTTATCTTGCTTTTCCACATCAAATTACAACATTTTCATCCAAGCCTATTATCTCACATTCTGTCTTATCTCAGTAATTGACATTTATCTGTTCTGCTCTTCAAAGTGGAAATATCAGAGTCATGTTTTATCTCCACTCTCTTTTCTCCTAATTCCAAACAAACATCAAGAATTTTGTTTCAGTCTTTTCTCCAACTCTCTCTTCAATTGCCAAGCTAGGACACTGACATCCAGGTTCATGGTTACTACAACAACCCCTGGATTTCTGATTTGTTCCATTCTCATCTAGTTTTGCACCAACCATTTAAAACACACCTTCTTAATTTTCTAATAATATTATTTCACAGACTTAACTCAAAGTTGATCCATAGCTTATTTCATATAGAGTAAATCAGAAACTGCATTGCCAAACACAGTGTGGCCACCTCCTATGTTCTTCTCCTCACTTTGTACAAACCTCCAGCCCATCTGATCGCCTTTCATTTCCTCACACATAACACACTCTTGTTTCTAATCTTTGGTTCCTGTATTCTAATATCCTAGCTGGGAGAAAAACCATCCCCACACATCAGTTGCTGTTTTATGTCTTTTGCCATTCCCACTGTATTTTTCCAGTCCCCAAAGCTATTGCCCTCCAGTTAGCACTATCGAACCCATTGAAATATAATCTTCCTGTATAACTTCCCTATCACTTAGTCACTTATCACCTTCCAACATAATATACGTGTTTTTTTGTTAACTATCTTGTATTTTTTATTTTTTGTTTATTGTGTCTTCAATATAATGTAGATTACATAAAGCCAGTGATCCTTGTCTGTGCTTAAGAGGGCCTTGTGTATACTAGAATCTCTGTAATTATTTGATGAATGAATGACAAAGTAAATCTGTCATTTTTAGACATTTATATAAATGAAGAAAACCAGAATGTGAACAGCATGTTTTGGCTTACTGTTTCAAAAGCTGTCTACTTTTATTAAAATTATTTTTTCATGTGTTTCAAAATGAACTTAAATTGTGTAGCATAAGAAATAAAATGCCTTATTTTATTTGGCAAGATATCTGTGACAGATATTGTGTTGGCCAGCGGTCTATTGCTGCAACAAAATACCTGAGATAATAAACTTATGAATGTAAGTTCCTTTTGGCTCGTGGTTCTGAAAATTTTAGTCCATTAAAATTTTAGTCCATTTACTGGACTGGCCCTGTTTCTTTGGGTCTGTAGTGAGGCAGTACATCATGGTGGAGAACATGTGATAGAGAAAATTGTTCATCTCAAGGTGGGAGAGCAAAAAAGATAAAGAAGAGACCAAGGTCCTAAGAGCCCTTTTGAGGACATAGCTACAGTGACCTACCACCTCCCTCAAAGCCCCGTCTCTTTAAGGTTCCACCATCTTCCATTAGCACCACCAGCTAGGACCCAATCTGTTAACCCACGGACATCAAAGGACATTTCAGCCCAAACTACAACAGATATGTTCATTGCTGTTGTTTACTATGCTTTATAGATATCTGTTGAAATTTGACATATTCTTACTTATATGTGGAGTCTAAAAATTTAAAAAATCAAATATCTTATTACAGAGAATAAATAGTGGTTAGCAGGGACAGAGGTCAGGAAGAGTAAATAGGAACATATACATCAAAGGATACAAAGAAGAAAATACGTTCAAAGAACAAGAAAAGATCTAATGTGCCACACCAATATTTTAGTTAATAATGGTATATTAAATTTACAATGTTTGCTAAAGATCAGATGTTAGCTGCTTCTAGCATGGGGTGAGGGATGGATAATCATATGAATTGATAGATATATTAATTTGCTGTTCTATAGTAAACACTTAAATATATATATATATATATAATCTTCAAATATATGCAACTATTTATATAAATATATTAAAATGACAATATACATATACAGATAGATATATATAACATACACACATACATAATCATGTATAATTTAATACCCAATAATATTAGAAGAGAAAATCAAGGTTATAAAGAAAATTCAGATGTAACTCAACTTGGAGCAACTAAACTGAGCAGTCAACACATTATTCTTTGCTTATCTCTATATTATTACAAGAACATATTATAAAAAGCATAATGGAAATAATACTCTTATAAAATAAGACTTCTTAGAGCCCACATTTCTGATAACTCTTGTAATATTCAAATATGCAAGTATTATATTAATCCAATATTACTGTTTTAGAAGTACTTAAATAAAAGATTTAATTTTATTAAACTGTTTCTTAAAACTCAGAGAGCTCAGAACAAATTTCACCATGCTGATCTCTTAGAATGTTAATAATCCATATATATTTAAATAAAACTCAACACAGTAATTCTATTTTAGCCACTAGGGAATAGAAACTGGTAAAAGGAAAGGTATCTCTTTTAATAATAGAACGTATGCACAACCTTAGAAGTGAAGTTTTATATTTCCTACTCAAATACAGTAATATTATTATCATATAAATTTCAAAGTCAATATAAAATGAAAAGTGTTGCTATTTTCCCCCGGACTTTCTTGTTCTAGGATTAACTGACTAGCTGGTCTTAAGGAGGGTTTTGAGAATGCAACTGAAAAAGGTAGAAGGATATAGATTAATATTTTTCTTGAATTCATTATTTTATTATATTTTTACAATACATTTCCAAATATTTTACTAGTTTTTTTGTAACTTGTTGTATTATTATATTGACAATGGGTATTACCAGTCTGTAAATAAAATCAACACATGAAATTCAGTTTAGAATCATAGACTCAATTCAAAGGTAATGTTTTGCTTTGTTTTATTTACCACTGTTTTAAATTTTGAAATTCATCCTCCAAGCAGGCAGGTAGCACACACCTGTAATCCTAGTGTCTCTGGAAGCTGAGGCAGGAAGATCACGAGTTTAAATCCAGCCTCAGCAAAAGCGAGGTGCTAACCAACTCAGTGAGACTCTATCTCTAAATAAAATACAAGATAGGGCTGGGGATGTAGCTCATTAGTGGAGTGCCCCTAGGTTCAATCTCCAATATCACCCCCACCCCCTAAAAATAATTGGTGTGTAATTTTCTTTTGGTGGTGTGCTATTATCCAGTTTTGGTATCAGCATGATATTTCTTCATATAATGAATTTTGAAGCATGTCCTCCCCCTCTATTTGATAAACTGATGTGAGGAAAACTGGAATTAATTTCTCTTTAATGTTCAATAAATTAGCTGTCAAACAATTTGGTCCTGGGTTTTTTTCTTTATTGGGAGGACTTTTAAATATATATATATTCTAATTTGTTATACATTACAGCAGAATACATTTCAATTCATATTACACATATATAGCACAATTTTCATATCTCTGGTTGTAGACAACGTAGAGTCCCACCATTTCTGTCTTCATACATATACTTATTTTAATCCTTCAATCTCATTGGTTGCTATTGGTCTGTTTAGATTTTCTATTTTCTGTTGGTTCAGTTGTGATAGATCCTATGTGTCTGGATATTTAACCATCATTTTTCTTGATTTTTAAATTTAGTGTAATATAAGTTTTTAAAATAGTACCTAAGGATCCTCTGGATTTCAGTTTTGTTGATTGCGGGGTCCCCATACTGTTTTACAACAGAGCTATGCCTAATGTTACAGGCTTTATTAAATCATTGGTGAGGATCAAAAGGAGGAAGAAAGAAAAGAAAGAAGAAGGAAAGGAAGAGGGGAAGGAGGATAAAAGTTTAATATTTTGTTACAACCATGACCATAAACACACAGGAAGGTATGTGTGGGTGTAATATTGTAATTATGGGACATATTTCCACACTGTTGGGAGACTGCCTTAAAGTGTTTCTTCTGTTTACTCAGATGAGAT